CATTTTGCAGGTTGAAGCTGGTCGATTGGCTAAGATATGGCAGGTTTCCTCGGACACCCAACTCAAACTTGTTCCCGATACTGATGATCGTGTTGCCCTTGGCCCAATTATCCCCAAACGGTTACGACAAGTGCCCCGTAGCTTCCCACGTTCTACATTTTCTGCCTGGGGTGGCTTTCACCCGCGACAGTTTAGAATGTGGAATATAGAGCAGGCGGGGATCGTCGGCCAACTTATCAGATTACTTGAGAAGGTTGATCACATGCCGACACAGCTCCAAGGGATCGCACCCACTCTTATGATGAAGTTGAAGCAGTACGACGCTCCTGCCAGTCAGCCTTCATTCAGGTCCAGTGGCATGTTACCCGCGTTATATCGTGCGCGGGCTCGCCTGCGTAGGTCGGCGGCCAGAGAGTGGGAAGCTCACCGCCGTAGGCCCTAGCTAGCGCATCATGCGGGCCACTCTATAGTTGAATTGGTTTATAAGCAAGATTTGAAATGCGATTTCAACGGCACCGCTAAAGACCAACAGTCTAGCGCGCAAGTCTTGCATGATCTATCTAACTACTACGGGCATGCTGGCCGTCCGTACCTAGCTCATCGCGCTGTTGAATCAGGTTTCCCGTGTTGTTTACTTCGGAACATATTATCCCAATATGCCAGCGAACGTCGTGCATCGTGGCAAGGTTGCGCGATCAGTGCGAGCAAACTTTGGAGGGGCATTGCCGCGAGCTGCAGCGGGGCCACGCATTTAGCGCAAATGTATGCGCTAGCCCCTCTTGGTATATGGACACAAACCCACAGTCACATTAGGCTCGCAACGTTCATCGATGATCTGCTGCTACAGCCAGCAAAACCTAGCCGCCAGGCCCATGGCGGACTGCATCACCCACGAACTGAAGTGCCAGATTGCCAGCAAGAAGAGTCAGGCTCTCGCGCCCCATCAGAGTCAGGCTCTCGCGCCTCTCTGGCAGGCCCGACCAAGGACCGTTCGGGATCCAACCACGGGGTTGAAAGTGGTGCTGGGCAGCCCAAAAGGAGATGGAGAACGTTTCGGAAGCCCACCGAGCGCCTGGGTAAGAGACGTAAAAGACTTAATCGTGCGCGTAAGTTGAAACGCGCTGGGGGCGACACTCACAAACTGTAAAAGACTGGCCTCGAGGCGGCCACCAATGTTGGAGCCGAGGTCACTGGCATCAACGGCGCTCAACTTGAGTCAGCCAGGTCGCAGTGTCTCGCTGCAGCGGGTTCAAGGTGCCCGACGCGCAGACGCAGTTTGCGGCTGCCCATCCTCAAGGACGCTCTGTGGAGAGCTGCTTTAGGCCCAGCCATTATGTGTTACCGTCTTGTTTGGGATGCGCCCACCCGCCCTCACCTCGCCGTGGCCAGTTTCCAGCAACTGCGTTTGCGGGCGGATGCCATCCTCCCGAGAGTTTCAAAAGCTTGGGGTTCCTCTCGGGGCCCTCTTGGTGCGGCCGAGCTCTCCTTGAAACTGTTGGTTGGAAATCCCAGGGGCCGTTCAAGTTTGTGACATCCTCAGGCCTTGAGTATCCCCTTTCCAGGACACTCCCCCGCCTTCCTCCAAAAGCTCATGGAGCACGATTGGCACGGCCAGCTCGCCACGAAGGCGGCCGTGAAACTCGGCCACCAGAACGCCCAGTTAGATGCTGTTGCTGCTCGTAGCGTGCTCGTTTCGGACCTCCTGGGCCACCAGAAGGGCACGCTCCTCGCTTTCCTCACCCAGAGTACATGGACGATGGAGAGAGCCAAAGTAGCAGGATATGATGTCCCAATTGAATGCGAGTGTGGCACTCCGTCGGACAATCTCGGCCACAGACAGTTACACTGCCCGAAAAAGGTAACACTTAGAGCCACTCACTTCTCGGACGCGGAGCTTCTGCGTTCAAGGGAGCATCCGCCCCAAGCCACGCCCCTCCACCTTGGGCCCCAGGTTGTTCCTGAGTTCCGAGGAGAGCCTCCGCCAGGCACTGGGTCTGAATTTTGGGACTTTGGGTGTGCTCAAACTGGTCTCACCCCTCAAGAGGCTTTCAGCGAAGGGAAAGTTCTTGTGAACGGTAGTTGTACCAACTACGGCCATTATGTGCTCAATGCCGCAGGTTTCGCGGTAGTCTGTATGCGTGACGGAGAAGTTGTTGCCCATTTCAGCGGCCGCGTTGGCCAGATGTGTTCACCAACCTCAGGAGCCGCGGAACATCTGGCGGCGGACGCTGCCATTTGATGTCCAAGGACATTGAAGTTATGTATTCTGACTACAAGGGAGTCCTGCTACTGCACCAAGGTAGCGAGTATCCCCGTCGCAAGATGTGGGTTGGGTTTAAGGTCCTGGCTGACAGGGGGCTCTTGTCTTTGGGGCAGGGGCTTCAAAAGGTGAAAGCACCAGGACACAGAAGCCCTACCCGTAGGCAGCGAAGCCCGCCGACTGGCGGAAGGTAATGATGCAGCAGACTAAGGCTGCTGCGCACAAGGGTGTTCAGCCCAG